CCATTTGAGATTTTGATATTTCACTGATTGCCTCATTGGAGTGAACAAATATAGATCAATGATTTCTGTTATTTAAGATGAATATAATCAAATAATCATGTATGTTAGATGTACCAAGTACTGTAGGCTGTAGGTAAAGGCAAAAGAGCAAAAAAAAATATCAAAGGAATCTTTTCCTTGTTGACTAGTGTTTACTAGTTGGAATTTGAAAAATTTTCTTTTCCGAAGTCTCTATTGTGGGGGGCCCGTTTATGGAGGCCCCGGGGCTTTCGCCCCGGTTGCCCTCCCCTAAATCCGGCAGTGTCTAGACCACTCGAACCTGAGGGGGTCGGCTCAACTAGAGCCTGCAATTTAGCAAAAAACCATAATTATAAAGAAAAACAAAATAGGCGTGTAAAACATAATAACTCTAATGAATAAATTGAATGTCCCATGTACCAGTTACCTAAACATTTTTCCGTCACAACTACTCGAAAAGATATCACACTGCAAGCTAGAAAACTTCGAAATGGGTGCAAAACCATAGTGAAAGCAAACAACGAACCATAAACAAGGAGTGTGGCAGAGACAAAAGCGGTATGTTATAAAATGTGAGTTAAAGAAATAAGGCAACATAAAGTCATTCCTCGAAGCCAGTTGCGTATGTTTGGTCGGCGTGTATAAAATATACAAAGAGTGGGCCCTCCGCTTAATGCAAACAAGCATGTGTAACGCACGCATGCCGGGGGCTTACTACTCTACCAGACCCGGTCACTTGTTATTCGACAAGGAAAACAAATACATACTTATGATTTTATTTAATTATTAAGCATTTAACTGCTAGATGTTTAAATCTAAAGAAAAGTTTACTAGAAAAAAAATCCACGCGGACCAGGCAGCGGACGGGACTCGAACCCGCATCCTTCGCTATCCGGGCGAATGAACTGACAATTATGTTACCACGGCCCTATTAGCCGCGTCGAAATTTTCCTAGCCTGAAGCTGCAAGGCAGCGCCATCTCTTCGCATTGTAGGTAACCCACAATGTCAAATGAATACTTTTTCAAGTATTAAACATTTGAAAGAAGAAATAGCAATTATAGTTATGATTTTATTTATTTTTTAAGCATTTAACTGCTAGATGTTTAAATCTAAAATAAAAAAAATATAAATATAAAAATAAATACAATAAATAATATAAAAAAGTAGTTTTTTATAGTAAATTTTTCTTTAAATACATACTTCGTTAAATATAACTTAAGAGCCGTATCTTTGTTTCCTTGACGGCTACATGATAAAGATTTGTAGGGTTTTATTAAGAAAGCAACCCTCGGCATAGCCGATCTCGCTGTCAAGCTTTTCGCCTCAAACTCGACCGTGAACGAATTGGGAGCTACAACTTCAATTATTCTCAACTAGCAAACCAGTGAACCAAATGTTCACCAAAACCTGATATAAAAAAAAATGTATTTAATTAATTGAGAACTTCAGAGATTTTGTGTGGTTTCGTTTGAAATTCGTGATTTCTCGAAAACCGGAAGTGCTACGTTACTCAAATCCGGTTTGTAGTCTTATCAGACTATTCTTAACTTATAACTTAAATATTCTCTTTATCTATCTCTTACGGTTTGGCCGCTGAAACAGCACCACACACAGACGGACGGACGGACTTGTCTAATAGATAAGAGATTGTGGAAGTTCTATGCCTGAAATTCGCATAACTCAGCGAGCAGTTCGACGTGAGCTCACACAAGTAGACGTTCACAAGTCGTATGTTTTTTATAATTTATAATTTACCCACGCTTAGTGCAATTTTTTTTTTGCGTACAATATGTATTTTTTCACGGAACTCTGCGGCATCTTGACTTTTCAACGGTCCACGCATGACTTTAAAACAAGAAGTGCTTGAGTAGCGTTCAAGCATTCCTTGATTGGAACACATTTTAAGCGCACATGGTGTATGTAGGGTATTTCGAAAGAATGAAACTCTAAGGCATTGTCCTAATACAACGCGATAACGCGATCTTCGCGCGTTTAAACGATGCGACCATCGCGTGATCGCGAACTGGGTGTCCTAATAGAACGCGAATACGGAACGGGTTAGCCCTGCCCCTCTCCCCGCTTCCTATCGACGCGACGCGATCATCGCGCGAACTTCAGTTAGGACACCTATTCATCATTAATAGGTTTGATAGCGCGTTCGCGCGAACTAAGATCGCGCGAATAGATCTTTAAACATTTTAGTCGCGCGAATGCATCGCGCGATCGCCTATTAGGACACCTATTCTAGATCAATATGTTTGATCGTCGACTCGTACGATGATCGCATCGCTCATTCGCGTTATCGCGTTGTATTAGGACAATACCTAACAAAGATTGACAAGATTGGTTTGAGGTAAAAGTGTACAATGACACAAAGAAAGTTTAAACCGAAATTATAAAACAAAGATATTATTGAATTCAATAAATGTAAATGTTTCTACGATGCATACCAAATTGAATCATAATATAATATTATTTATTTAAGTTTATAAACATCATTTATTTAGTAGATCTTTTCTGTGGCTGCCGCTTCTATTCATGCCTAGTGCGTTGCCGAAGGACGGGAAAAAAGTCCTAGTGTGGAAGTATTATAGATCAAATATTATAAGTTTTTGTGTCTGTCCAAATAGTTGGTAATAATAGAAATGTAGTGAGGCACAGGAGACCACCCACCGGTCGCAGGGTTAGGTATTTGGTCACCACACCATACATAACTTGAACACTGAGTCCGGAGACTGTTGTAATAATATAGGTAACATGTATTAACAAAATGCGTACTAAAGAAAAGTTTACTAGAAAAAAAATCCACGCGGACCAGGCAGCGGACGGGACTCGAACCCGCATCCTTCGCTATCCGGGCGAAAGCACTGACCATTATGCTACCACGGCCCTATTAGCCGCGTAGAAATTTTCCTAGCCTTAAGCTGCAAGGCAGCGCCATCTCTTCGCATTGTAGGTAACCCACAATGTCAAATGAATACTTGTTCAAGTATTAAACATTTGAAAGAAGAAATAGCAATTATAGTTATGATTTTATTTATTTTTTAAGCATTTAACTGCTACATGTTTAAATCTAAAGAAAAAAAAAATGTCCGCGTCGATTTTTTTTCTAGTAAACTTTTCTTCAGATTTAAACGTCTAGCAGTTAAATGCTTAAAATAAATAAAATCATAAAATGCGTACTGTTAAACAAACAGCCCTTGCTGAGTTTCTTGCCGGTTCTTCTCAGTACAAGGTCTCCCGCCGTAGATTTACAAACCGATGGCACGGTAATATTATCTATACAGTATTGTGACTCCGCCCTGTCCTTGAAAATAAATGCCTACACCGAGCGCTGCATTGGCACGCGGTAGGGCCGCCAGCCTACAGTATTTTATTTTATGTAGTTTTGTATTTAACGCGAGTGTCTCACTCCTCCACAATCCTAACCACTTATTTATATATTATTCCAGATATTTTGCCCGATGGAAAAACCGAAATACCTAAATATTAGAAACAAATAACGTACTAGTAGATAGGTATATAAAAAATATTCTATAAAGGTAAGACACCTTTCCAATATTTCAGGTAATTTAAAAAATGATATCTCTGGGTGTGTTATTGAAGAGTTCAAGCAACCAAAAACAGCAATTGTGCTGTTGTACGATATTGATCGTCGTTTGTTCTTTTCCATACTAAATTATGTAGGTATCTACTTAATTAAATCAAATATTTACAATACAAAACGCATGTTTAAGCACGGCTAACTGCATAAAAAACAATTCAGACCGTTCGGTCGTCGTTGCGGCGCGGCGCGGCACATTCGCGACTGGGTGCACGCCGAGAGCACATCGAACTCGAGTGGCGTAGGTATGACTCGCTTTCCGACCGTTTGTATGAAGATAGAATACTGTATGATATTATTACCGTGCCGATGGCGTAGCTTCTTTCTAGACATTCATGAGTGCTTGTAACAGTCTAAACTGAATAAAAGATTTTGATTATGAATATGAATAAATCTATTGTTTCTTAGGTTTTCCCGCAGATCATTCATCGTCGGCATTCTGACGATGCGAACCTGAAAAGGCTGCGAAACCATAATAAATAAAGTTTCGTGCATTAACCCGTTAAAACTAGTTTTATTTAAGTCTATTGTTTTAAACTTTCATGGTCACTAACATAATAGTAATATATGACACAGTTTCTCCGTGATCATGGCGCTTGCAACAGTGCCGAAATATCGGAAACTCGCTAAAAACAAAGTACATGGTAACAATCCCGTAAATAACTTATATCACTATAATGAATAAATCTATAGCAATCTTCGTCATCACCAGCCTATTATTCGGCTGTTTTAAAATTTCTTTATTGTTAATTTAATGTTTACAATAGTTTTAAGAAATATTATACATAACATGAACTACTTACAGCTTTATCAGGCTAAGCGCACCTTTTAAAGTTTATTCTAGTGCAAAACAAAAACTTTTAAAAACATAACTTCACAACTAAAACTATTAGTTTAAATGCATTGTAAGTGTTACTAGCGGCCCGCCCTCGCTTCGCTTCGGTGTAGAGCTGAAGTGTAGACTACAGTCTTTGTTCTCAAGCTTGTATTATACACAATGACATTCATCTATGATTCTTCTTATACCTGCATGCAGTCTCAGCCCGATCGGTTTAAAATTGACAAACTTTCATTCCCTATTTTATGCCCTTGGGGGTAGAATTGATCAAAATCCTTTCTTAGCGGATGCCTACGTCATAACATCTACCTGCATGCCAAATTTCAGCCCGATCCGTCCAGTGGTTTGGGCTGTGCGTTGATAGATCACTATGTCAGTCAGACCTTTGAGTTTTATATATATAGATATAGATTAATGCAAATCACTTGATGGTAATCTTGCTTTTTTTAAAGGGTAAACTGTACTGGTAAGAACTGGCTGCATAAGAATGAAGTGACCAGATAATATTAAGTGAACTAAGCTACCCCACCTCCCTCACCTCTAGTGCGTGAAGACCACAGAGGGGGAACCGTGTGAAGGTTCTGTGTCGCTAGACTGGCCATGCGCGTGCACATCGTGATTTATACAAAATAGCGCCTATTACATGGCAATTAAAGTATATAATCATTTGCCTAATTCCTTAAAGACCCTCCAGGGTTTTTTACTATGTAAGACATTTTCTGCAATTAATGAAAATTTTAGTGAAAATAAATAAAACTAGTTTTTACGGGTTAATGCACGAAACTTTATTTATTTATTGACGTTTCGTAACCTTTACAGGCTACGTCGTCAGAATTAAACTTTTATTTAATTTGTCGAGCTACCTTCGAAAGACTTTTATTGAGCGTTCGGTTATTTCATTGTTCGATTTTTAAAGTTTTATTATCTATGTATGAATTTATTATTAATTCGTGCATTAACCCGTAAAAACTAGTTTTATTTAATGAGTGATGTGCGTGAAAACCTAAGAAACAAATATGTTTTAGTGAAAAGTTTGAAATATTTGACATTTGCATTATATTTTGAACAATTGAATTATTTTTTAAAATACCTATGTTATACAAGATTGAAAATTTGTTATGTTGGAACGTTTTATACTTAGTATTAAGTTTAAAATTTTGACATAAATTTGCATTTTATTTTGGACAATTTAATTGATTTTTACAATATGTTATACAGGATTGAAAATTTGTTATATTGGGACGTTTCATAATTATGACTGTAGATTCTATCTATTTACTTTAGGACTGCAATACCCTAACTGGGTTCTTGTTTGGAATATATATATATATATATATTTGTAACAGCATGTAAACAGCAAGAATGCAATAAATGAATATGAAATTACTAGCAAACCAGTGAACCAAATGTTCACCAAAACCTGATTAAAAAAAAAAGTATTTAATCAATTGAGAACTTCGTAGATTTTGTGTGGTTTCGTTTGAAATTCGTGATTTCTCGAAAACCGGAAGTGCTACGTTACTCAAATCCGGTTTGTAGTCTTATCAGACTATTCTTAACTTATAACTTAAACATTCTCTTTATCTATCTCTTACGGTTTGGCCGCTGAAACAGCACCACAGACAGACGGACAGACGGACTTGTCTAATAGATAAGAGATACTTTTGCCGGTAATGCCAGACGCTGGAAACAATATGAAGTGACGGGGTGAGCGCTACGACGCGTAAATAAGCACACGAGCACTCGGAAAGCGCGTCGAGCGCAGACCCATCAGTCTGTCAATGTTCCCACTGCACAGGCATGGGATGGAATGGGGCGACTGGGCAGTGGGGTGACCTACTCCGATGCAGATTGGTGGGTGCTAACGACTGCAGATGCAGCCTGGACCAACGGCTTAACGTGCCTTCCGAAGCACGGAAGTTTTTGGTCACCCATCCAATGACCGACCATTGCGAAAGTTGCTTAACTTTCACGATCGCAGGTCGAATGCTCTAACCACCTGCATCATTGAGCTCCACTCATTCAGTCTTAGTCTTTCATTATCATCGGCCTATTAACGTCCTCAGTGTTGGGACACATGCTTCTTTGGATTTATTCGGAAGACTGAACTATGTTGGTCCTCTTACATCACTTCCAGCATAGCTTGAACTGGGGCAACTTTCAAACATTGAATAAAGTTTCTTAGTTACATTGTGCCTCCAAAATGTAAAAGCAAATTTCCAAATACACCGAAATGCCATTCCGAGAGAGCAACTCTTAAACGGACCCATAGTTTTTTTGAAGTTATACTTCTTTAGGCGCGTTATGAAAACTGATGAGAGTGAAATTTTAAGATGCGCGCGCATCACTGTAACACAAAATTTTAACAGCATGAAGTTGGTCGCTTTAGCGACCAACATCATGCGTTACTTTTGCGTTTACCGCACATTAAGAAAATCTACCAACAAAATTGAAATAGAATCTCTAATTAATGGGTGCTAACGACTGCATTGTGAAGGCCTATCAAAAGTATTTATCAATCTGGAACAACGGAACCAAAGCGCGATTCAGGAGACTACAGCGCCATCTCTTGACCATTGGTGTAGTGGAACCAAAAACCACATCTTTATTTTTTGTAATAAAGTAACAGTTATAGGTATTCATATTTATAATATTTCCAGACTTTTTATTAATTTATTGTAATTAATTATTTGCATGCAATTAAAAACTAATTTTAAACGATGCCAAAGAAGGATAACTTCTCACGCGCCTACATAAGTACACGCACCCATTTTTTTTTCTTACATTAGGTGTCCATTAGTAATGAGTTGAGATTTTATAGCTTTGCTATTTTCAGTACAAAGTTTGGATGGGAATTCCGTTACGTATTTAAACTTTAGTAGAATTCGGGACAGTGTGTCAGTATTTCAAAACTTTTAAAGGTTTATATCACATAGAACTTTCAAAGACATTTAAATAATTTGACTGAAATTGGTATCATATTGATATATGAATTAACATATCTAACAGATCCATATCTCTTATCTATTAGACAAGTCCGTCCGTCCGTCCGTGGTGCTGTTTCAGCGGTCTAGTACCCATTGGACCCTCCTAATTGGACCTTACCTACAAAAAAGTGCCCGTTCGACCTCCTATCAAGAACATGGTGCCCATTGGACCCTCAAAGACGTACTTAACGACTTAATGAGAGCTATTTATTTTTATTTATTTATTATGCTATTGGAGCTCTTAACTATTTGGCTAATTCTTTTGGAATGATAAAGTACAGTCGTGTAGTAAAGTAACATTGTAAAAGACATAAAAACACAAAGGTTATAAATCTAAGTATTTAATCAACATATTTATAAAATTCAAAACACTCATCATCAGTAACAAACCAATATAAATATTTACATAAAATATAATAATCAAATCACAGATTTTTTACTTTACTTTTAAAGTCAATAGAAATTATTTTTTATCAAATAACTTAACTAAATTATAAATATGGTTTGTTATATCACACAGATTAAGCACAGTTATTATATATTCTAAATATTGAAAAAATAAATAAAAGCACAAAGGTTATAAATGTAAGTATTTAAGATCAACATATTTATAAAATTCGAAACATCAATCATCAGCAACAAACCATATAATATAATAATCAAATCACAGATTTTGTTATTTTACTTTTAAAAAGTTTTTTTTTTTCAGATATCTTAACTAAAATATACATACAGTTTTTATATCACTCAGATTAACTATTGAAGCACAATTATTATGTATTCTAAATATTCATAAAATAAAATACCAATGTAATATTTTCATATTACATTTTATAAAAAATATTTTCTAATCATATTTTTACAATTAACGAGAAATTGCTTATTATAAAAACATACTTTAACTAAAGGATATGGTTCAAAAGCGGTAGTCGGTTTCCGGCAGGGACGCTATATATATAATTTGAAAGTTTGTATAACATGAATAGATACTTTGATTTTTTTATTCATTACCGATTATTTTAAAATCGTGTTTAATAATTAAACAACTTTGTAAGTATGCTGGCCACCCTATCTTAGTAACGTCATATTTTTAGTGTGTGGTGGCTTATAACGTCAACTCAATCACTATGGCATATATCAATCAGTCCAGTCATGGATTATTATCAGAATTATTATCAATGCTTTTGTTACACATTGAACATAATATATTTGATGCTTGGCAACAAAAAATAAATAAATAAACTTGGCATTTGCAAATCAATTATTGGATAGATTTATGTTATTTTAATATAAAAACCGGGATAAAATAAAATTCTAGTTTTTAGTCAAACGATTCACAATTAAGTGCGCTGCATCTCATAAAAACTTGGAGTCTGCCGAAAGACCCACTACCAACCTCCATAAAAAATTTAACAGTCTTCTTTTGTAAAACATTATAAATTACCAAATTAAATATTTAAGACACATATGTGAGTAATTTTTCTAAGCAATGGCCTACGGTTGTAAGATTATTTTCTAGCTGCAACATAGGTCATGAATCGGAACGAGACAGCAATAGTTCTCTCTCTCTCCCACATATGAGATCGGCGCCATCCTTTTATTTAAGCGCAGAGATTGCTTGGGCTTGGAATCTATAACCTTCCTTTCATCAGGTGCGTAAGAGGAGTATAACTGCCGATAAAAATACTCAATCTCCCTCAGAATTTCAGTCTTAGATCAAAAGATGATGTCTTTGCAAAATCCACCGTCATGTTGCTTAGATTGTCTAGATCCAAGCTGTTATAAGGAACTTGGAATCAATCGAACTTTTTTCGATTTGAAAGGTCTTGTGGATTTGGTGTTGCGCTGTAAGGGTATTTATTGGTCAGTGTACGATTGCCCTATTGAGTGAAAACTTTTTACATTAATGATCATTAATGTAATTAAATTGAAAATTAATGTAATTAATGATCGTTCCTTTAAACCTAAGACACAAACATATATAATGTCAAATGTAAAATAAAAAGATATTGAAGTGTTATCATTGTCACTGGCACCATTATAACCCATAGAATAAAAATACATGTCAGTAGTACAATATTTGGTTTTGGCTCCTTGTCAATACGAATAAAATAAAAATAAACATTATACAAATTAAATTTTGATTACTTTTGATTCACTTTTTATTTTCTAAATATCTCCCTTATATCTTATTGTACGAGTACCTTACTAAAAATCCAAATGTTTTAAAAATTCGCTTTTCTTAAAGGTTACTATCATCTGTCTGCGTCCCGTATTTATAGAGCAATAGACGAAAACCAGTTTTTTTTATTTTTCGTGAAAACTTACGTTTTTGTAGTTATCTTTTTATTCTCCGGGGATGGCGAAATATCGTTAATTCGAAGAAAAAAGGTAACCTGATTTCTTTACAATTTGTTTAGGACTACTTACTGGTTGGAGTCAATACTTATACAGTATTTAGTTAGTGGCTTTATAATACCTACAATTAATTTTATTTTTGTCTGCAATTTTCTACATGACTGTACTGTGCTTAACAAAACTGTTAATAAGGTTCAACTGGCAGTAGGGTATAATCTTGAAGGTCCAATGGGCACTTAAAAAGAGGTCCAATGGGCACATTGAATATA